GTACTTGATCTCATGGTCGGACTCTTGCACAATCTGAGCGACGATGACCTTCTCCGAGTCCGACTCGAGCTCGCTAGCCGATTCAAAGGACGACGGCTTCCCTGGGAGGTCGACTTTTTCTGAGCTCATACTGGCGTTGGTTGACGATAAGAGACAAGGGGTCGAACAGGCTCAGACGGCATCACTGTTTCCTGATACTTATATTTCCCTGTCGCTGTGCTCCTCCACCAGCGCCTCTCAAAATGCGATGGGTTTGATCGAGGGAGCCAACCCGAGTGCTTAGTTTAGTGTCTTTACTCACGCATTTTTACATCTGGCCAGTTTCACGGTCAACACGGTAGACGGGGTGGTGCCTTTATTCGCTCGATATCACCCTGGGATGTCGTTTTTTTGTGTGAGGCGCAAATGCGTAAACACCGAAAACCAACCACTGCGGACTTCTAGAGTCACGTAGACTCATGCTCGCGGCATACCCTCGATGCGCGCTAAAGGGCCGCTGCTGGCGTACCTGTTGCCTCACCGAGTACCCGGAGTTGCGCTGTCTTGCGTCATTCAAGGGTCTGATTGTCCCACCTCTGTGCACTGGGAAAATGGCTAAGCAGCGAGCAGGTTTTATATGGCGCGCATTTAAATTCTGGGCCTGCGGAGGCAAACTGAGCATGGAACTGTTCCTGACCTTGGCTGCCCTCTCTGCCTTTGAAGAAGTCCCTCCAACAGCGCCAATGGTCGAAGAAAGGTGCACGTCAAATCGAGGGCCGCTCATTGACTGTCCTTTATCTCGTCAAATCTCTTGTAAAACACCCAAGCGTCCACATATTCTTCGCCACTGCCGTCTGCCTTCTTCAGCCTGCCCGCTCGCGGGATTCGTCCGGCTTTCGTAAAGTCCAACGCCTCCCACAGCCTGATTCATGAGACGACAGACCCTCAGCACACAATCCATGCAACAGAAACAAATTTTACTCACTTGATGCTCGCAATGTTGTTCACGTAGACTAGATTAAAAACGCTCGCTTCATATCCAAGCCTAGGGCCATAGTACAGGTACGACCGAGCTAGCACCGATCCGAATCCGCGACCTCGTTGACTCTGAGGGATCAAGAAACCTGCATTGCAGATCTGGTGGCAGAGACGGAAGTTTCAGTTTCGGCTTTAATTGGATTGGCAAAGAGAGCAACAATACTGACGTGCGAGGACCGTCCCGGATAGTTCGGTTTCACCTGGTCAAGTTCGTTTAGACATTCGGGAAGGGGCGGGGAACGTTCTGCTCACATAGTAAACCCCAGCTATACACTCCTCCCATGACCTCCCTTTACTTGCTTCAGCCGCCGTGATCTCAACTACGCCTCCATCCGTGGTGGCCTCCGGCAGCTCTCCTACACCAGTGATGCCGACCAATACGTCCGCAGCAAAGAAATAGCCTTCAAACGCTCCTTGTGTGTAGGCCTCGCCTTGCAAGATTTCTTGCGGGTATGTCATCCCTCTGTCGACCTCGGCGGCGAATGCATGATGCAGGTAAGACACTAGACCTGGGAGAGTAGATGCTGTCTCAAGCGTAAGGTGGTGGATAGTGACATATTGCGGCACAGATGGATCGATAGACTTATTCTTGCAGTGCCAGAGCGTCGTTGGTAAAGAAGACAGGGGGCGGTTAAGAGTAGAGATAGCCCCGTATGCCGACATGGTGAAGTAGAGTTAATGAGGAGAAGGATTAGAAGGAGACTTGTTGAACAAGCGATGGGGGTCGACAGGGCTGACGATGTTATCAGCTCAAGACTCCTTTGAAATCTCTTAGAAAGTCGTAGAAAACGACCAATCGAGTCATGAGTCTAGATAATACAATTTTGTTATGTCATTGTTATACGCTATAGCTTTACTAACCTCGCTGTTAGCGATGTCTATATCACAGCACCGTGAAGCATGTTAGGCTTACCAGGGACTACCCTAGACGTTGTGTACGAGGTTGGGGAAAGAAGTGGGGAATTTCAAGAGCGTCTAACCTTTGGATGGAATAAATATCCAGGTTAACGTTGGGTGGAAGCACGCCCAATGCGCGGGTGTAATCAGGTAGGACAAGTATGTCTTCAAACAATAGAATAAATGTACATGAGACTCTGAGTTCTCTATGAGATAAGCACAGTATTGAGCAAAGGAGTGAGAGTATTTCAGAGTGAGCGTGCGTGGATGGGTGTATTATTTGTCAAAAAGTATATACTTAAGATAGCAGGAGAGGACGGAGAGGACGGAGAGGACGGAGAGGAGACACCATTAACGTATCTTGAAGAAATAAACGTAGCGCGTTGGGAGGAATATTGCCAATCGCTGAGGAGACCAAAGAAGCTTTGAGTCGATTGCCCTGGAGTTCGACGCAGAGTGTACAGGTGGGACGACCGAGTTTGTAGAATCAGAGTGTCCATTATATACATGCATCTGTACGCGCTATTAGAACTGGTATTTTTGAAAGAAAGGAGAGACTGAACTTACAGCCGCAGCACTGCTGTCGAATGGGGTTTGCGTGAAAAGGTTCACAGATCGAGTGTCACCTCTTGCAACGGGAATTGCAGAAGCTACTCAGAGTTATTGCGAATTAGTACATGAAACGTATTCTAGATTGTAGTAAGGTGCAGATTGGACGTACTGGAGGCAACCAGAGCGGATGCAAAGAGAACAGCACGAGTTAGAGAAACCATGGCGGCGGAATATCGAGGAAGAAGGAGATATGGAACTTACAGTAAAAGCTAAAGAGTTATAAGAACGAGCTGATCAAGCGAGATTCGAAGGTCTGTTGATGTCAGTATACTCTGATTACCATGGCACCGTCTCTTATACTCTTCGATTGATGAGGCGAATAAATAAACCTTGTGCCAAATAGAGACGAATCATTGTAAGTGAACCTGGATTCGCAGCTCTTACGTGGGAGAACAAGATTGAACTCGGTTTAGGAACAAGGTCGTGATGGTGGACGAGTTTTAACCTCAAGCTAGCTGCCAAAAGAGGAAGCTGACGGGGTTGATGCGCTCGGCGGAGTTGATATTCGTCCTGATTTGGAAGTACCGGAGCCACTGGAGACGTTGACGGTCGCCAATTTCATTGTGACACTGTCACGACCACCATTCTCGTTGCGAAGTTCGCTTGGCCTCACGGGTTCCGCTAAGGCTGTTTCCCATTTTTCTCAATGAGGAAATGGAGTATAGGGCCATAATCTTGTCTCGCGCATGAGGCGGAGCGCAGGAAACAGAAGCTTCCCCACTCAGTACTCAATGCTCGTCCTCGAGGCGTGTTCGCGTTTCATTGTGGCTAAAGATGTGAGAATATTCCACAGTACTCCGTTTTTCGTGCGATCTGTACTGTATCTGTACGTAGAACAGATTACGTATGTCGACACGTTCTGACTATTACTTAGGTATGTGGCCAGGAATTCTAGGAAGCGGATGAGGCCTTCTTGCACAGAGCTCATTTCCTAAACGCAGCGCAATTATTGAAAGCATTAACAAACTTGGCTTCAATGTGAAGTACGTTCTCACCACCAGGAATGTTCTTGATGAAGCGAGCTCAAGCTCGTTGATTCTTCCTGCACAGATTCGCTGTAAATATTAAATATTGGCTGGCAACACATCAGCATGATATTGGGTTTGCGCCACAAGTTTTAGGTAAGCTAGTGCACTCATTTATGTTTTGGAAATCATAAACGTCATGAGCTTTGAAATTTGAGCTTTCAGTGTAGGTTATGGGCTAATGCGACCAGCAAGGCAACTGAACGTCCCGACACGGCGAAAGTCCAGTGTTTTCGCGCGCATGTATGTTGGTGCCCTGTTCTAAGATGGAAAGCATAGAAACCGTGGCCACAGAACGTTATGGCCACAATGACACGTGTATCTTGACACTTTTGCCACTGCTCACGCCTCGTTTCGCAGATCAGAGTGAGAATATGACGCAGCAATATTTTGTGAGTATATAAGACAATGACCAGCATTCAGCATTATCATCAATATGCTACCACAAGGAACTCGTCGGATTCACCCTCTCCACGGTGCTACACAGTCGCTTTTATTTTCGCGATCACGCCATACTCCTCTACTTCACTTAAAATTCGCATCCTCGACTACAAACTCTTCACCCATGAAGGTAAGTTCAAACATGATTAGGTTTATTAATCGTGCCTGATAGACTGTTATCAACATAGCGTTCATCATCCAAGCTCACACTTCCCGCCACCCATCCGCTCTTCATGAGCAGCCTGCAGCGACACTGCTCCGCTTTATTGAAGGATCCTACTGCTGGGCGAGCGCTAGTACTCAAGCCACTAGTTCTTTATGTCGACGGCTCACGCCGACAAGTCGGCGCAGGCGCCGCGATGTATACTGAATTCGCAGACGGAAGTGTCATCACAGCGAAGATGCACCTCGGGCCTCCACTCAATTATACATCGACCACCGCGGAATACTGGGGCGCGTTGATCGCTCTAGAGTCCATCGCTCAGCTATTACACCATGGCTATCGAGGACGGTCGTTCGTCATTGCCACGGACAATCTTTGTGTCTTCGCCTGCTTGACATCGACAGTGCCAGGACATCGCCCCAACCCTGTCGCCGTCGCTGTGCAGAAACGGAAAGAACGCATACGCAAACAATATCTTCTCTTCCAGCTGCAAGCGCTTTATACGCCCGGGCATTCTGATATAGTGGGTAATCAGCGTGCAGACCGGGCTGCAAAGGCAGCGGCTGGTGGAGAAACGAGTGTAGGCATGGTTATATAATCGGTGTACTGTTGTATGTTATCTCTTATTGAATTCCGCTCAATATCATGCATCATGGACGGCCTGTATCATGTAGTGCACTTAAATTGGCTCCACTAATCTATTGTGTAGGGCCATGAATTTGTCTTGATCAACTTTCGTGGTGAACAGCGTATTCATACGGAATCTCCGGACTCATATTTAGCAGACTTTCGTTACTAGCTCCCTGTAATGAGTCTTTAGAATCCACATCGGCTGGTTTATTCATGGCAAGATGGCCGAGTGGTCTAAGGCGTGTGACTCAAGCTGAAAAATGCTTGCCAGCGATGACTGGTTTCTCATAGGGCAACCTGCGTGGGTTCGAATCCCACTCTTGTCAAATCTTTTATGTCTTTCATAACCATCGCAATTTTTTTCTTCATAATCATAAACAAGATAGGCGCGCTCTGTAGTAAACACGTGCACGCGCTTTTAATTTTCTGAACCCGCGAACCGACCCCTGGCACCCCGGCTTCTTCAGTGGTCACTACCACTTGAATCGGATAACTATAAGTTCGACTCTACCGTCTACATACGTGAACTCCTCCTGTATAGTAAGTAAGTCCCTCTCCAAGACAAGGGTTAATTAATGCTCACGCGCTAGCACTCCTACAATCAGATTAGTGGCCATAAATATACAACAAGCTAGAAGTACTCGCCAGTGAAAGATACTGTACACGCGCGAAACCGTGACTGCACCCAGGGCGACTGGATATGCATCGAGTCCTACTTGCATACCGGATATTCCATCTATTGCATCAGACATGATGCGTCCGATCTGCATCTTTTTGTCTTACGGGCTCAACAGTCTTTAGACTTTCGGTGTGTTGTTGTGTTCGCAAGGCGCTCTGCTAGTAGCCCTAGCTACTACTGCCAGTGGCACTGGGAGTGGCAACACGACTTGCTTTCTCCCTTCATCACCGAACATACTTAGACTCATCCTATCAAACGACAGATCCTATAGGAACGCGGAAACGACGTGTTGTACGGCTGCACATCACCTCTAACATAGTAGGAATAGGAGACCATACCTGTGTTTCTGACCCTTGAAAGAACTTATCTCGTCTAGTTGCTTCATTTAACTGTAATTCAAACCCACATATTCGATCTCAAGAACTCACAATGTTGGACGAAGCGGCTCTCAAGCGCTCTGACATTCAGAAAGTGGCACGGGTGAGTACATGCTTGACAGTGGTCTTTCAACCCTCAATAACGAATTCCTTTTCCCTAGGCTAATCAAATCAAAGCGAATTTGAAGACAGTCGTCATAATCGAGCTTCTCGTTGAGAGGAACACGCACGAGGCGATTAATGTTCCTGATGGGTATGGCGCGAAGTACTCATTTCATGGAATGGCTGCTCAAGGCGTGCACTAGTATTTCACTTGAAGACAAAGTAGAAGTCCCGTCTGAAAGAACTCGAAGCCGCCACCGGGAGACTCGTGCGTCACTTCTCTTTGTTGCTGAGGCAGACAGGAGACTAATACTACTTGCTACGCATCTAGGTGCAAGGGCGCTCACGCGGAGTCTTTCACCAAGATCTAATGCAGGGTCTGAAGAATCTATACATGGGAATGCACGATTTTCGCCTGTATCCAGCACGGACTCTGACCCCAGTCTTGAAGGAATTGGGGTCCAGGGACCTCCACCTGTTGGAATGGTCCACGAAGGGGAACAGCCTCAAGGTATGTATCGTATGTTTTGGAGTGGCGTGCTTCGCTAACGAGTCTCCAGGAGCCCATTAATCCAGGAGCTTGGATAGATATGCCGATTCCGGAGACTCTGCATATACGAACCGCGGAAATTTCCTTCAGGCTCTCCCGCAAGAGGATTGGGAAGAAGACGACCCTGTCATGGCTTCTTCTCGAAGATGTCGTTACGAACATGAAGTCCCATTCCGACCAATATCGCGAAGCTCTTGCTGAAACCAAGAGACTTTAGAACGACGTAATCAAAGACGTCAAAGACGTCTTCATAGTCCGTAGGAGCATGATCCAAGAGGTCGGTATGTTTGGCCGTATGCATAAATGGTTCACACTTTTGTCAAAATCGGCACGCAAATGGGCCCCTGGCGCGATTTGGCAACTGCCGATTGACCTGGTTCTCCAAAATGGCTTCTACAAGGAGATCAACTCTGATGGAGAGATAGATCTTGACTCCGAGTCAGGAGGCTCGGAACGTGAAGAGAACGAGGAAGAGGAGGCAAACGATTTAATTGTTCCCACTGTGGCGGACGTTAGAGCACACCGAGGAACCACTTTGGCGTGGGTGGCAAATGATCCTATGATACGACTGGGAAGCTGATATCGTTATCCATAGTAGCGAACCATACGATCCTCCATACTTCCCGTACAGAGCACTCGGTGAACCTCCGGCAAGTCTTGGACAGTATGTTTCAACTGTGTCTCTACTTAGAAAACTCGAGTCTGATGGTGATGATGATAATAAATTTAGCTCCTCTCCGAGCCCTCCGTCTTCCCGGAGACCACCACTACTAAAACGCAAACGTACTGAGGATTATGAATGCGATTCACCTGGTGGTGGAGCATCTAAGCATCCTCGGACAGGTTTTCATCTTGGTACCGCAGCTTATATAGGAACACCACAAGCTATTACTCTACATGGTGTTTTTTGGGAAACCTATGGATCCTCGAGATTTCGATAGATCCTTTGAAAAATTCATGAACGCCGAGGCGCAAAATGCGATGGGGTATGGAAATGCATAGATTCTATTGGGGAGGGGGACACCATTTGACCTGGACGATCCGTGGTTTGTGTCTGCTCTTACAGCATTTTCTTGGGTGTACATAAACACTCTGCATGGTGTTGCCAGATGTCAAAGAATCCTTTACTCTTCTTATCCTTTACTCCCCCTCATATTGGTTGTCGGCAGCATGTTATCGCTTTATAAATGACAGCACCCTCAACTTGTCACAGCGCAAACTTGCCACCCCACCCACCATGAGCCTTAGCATCATCGCCTTGTCCACCACTACCCTCCAGGCTGTCAGCTATAGTGTGGATGAGCCTCGGTATGTTTTACTGCGCTTGCTTGTTCTCGTTCAACGCTGCATGTTACGATGTTCATCGACGCACAGGAATAGACCATGTTCACGCTGGACAAGAATTCCATTCTGCACATGACTCGATGGGATACCGTGCGGCGGTCCCAATGCCGTTCGTGACGAAGCTGTTCATGAAATAGACTTCGTCGAGGCCGGGAAACGCTCGGATGGAACCCGAAAGCCAAAGAACCTCGAACTTGAAAGATTACTAGGCAGGCTGCATGATGTGGCACGGTTACTAACCGGCGACGGAGATATATCATGTTATTGTAGTATTGAATAGTATGTCCTAACACTCGACTTTCATATTTGGCGAACACGTACTGTACTTGAAGCGTCTGAATAAACATCTATTAGTCTGGAAATACATGTGAACAATATGGTAGGGTATCTAGTCAACACGAGGCTTCTTGTCCCTGATGGTCCCAAAGAAACGACAAGACTCTAGGCGGGAAGGATGCACAAGCCACAACGGCACGACATCCGCTGTCATTACCATCTAATCCACTCTCCATACATATTAGGCCGCTCCCCACGAATATGTGCCTCAAACGTCCTCTTGAGTACTGTTGCCCAGTCCAAATCTCGTTTGTCCGCTTCCGTGTGCTCACTCCCTGCACCTGGAAGTCCAGTTGGAGAGGCCTTTCCAGGTGATTCTCGTGCGTTGCGCTCGCCCGCGGCAAAGCGTGGTCCTAAATCTGGAAAATTGCGTGTAGGGTCGAACGGTTGCCACCTGGCAAAAGGTTAATTCACAATGTATAGCGGCAAGGAGGGTCGTGGAGGTAAATGCATACATACCAGAAGTTATGGAAGTGGTAGGAGTAGGCTCCTCTAAAGAAGCCATCGAATCCAAGAGCTTGCGGAGCAGCGCTATCCTGCGTTGGCGTGTTGAAAAAGTCCCCGAACCTGGAAGTGGAATACGGGTAAACCAAAGAAGTCGTCAACCATACGAGTGCTCTTACTCGGTAAAGTATGGCTGAGGCGGCCTGTCCCTCTGGTAATTCTCTGTGTTCAACCAGGCAGAGTCAAACAGGGCATCCGGCAACCGTAACAACAGCCCCTCCAAATATGCGTCCTCAGTGTATTGCGAAACACTCATGGGATGAAAGTCCAACCCATTCTTTAGTGCCGTACGGAAGATGAAAGTACCCAAAGCAGAGTTACGGTTCATGCGCAAAACAGCGGTGTTATAGCGAGGAAGTCGAGACCACCGATAGGCAAAAGCGCCGCGCCAGCCCCAGAGTTCTTCCCAGTCGCGGAGAAAAATGGTGTCGGCGTCGAGGTATATGCCACCGAAACGATGACAGAGAACGAAGCGAGCCATATCGGAGAGTATGACGGAGAGTCGGTCATATGTGGAAGCAGATGTCGAGCCCACACGGTTGGCTTTATCATCACTGTTTTTCGCCTTCGTCGGAGAAGGAGCAGGGGGGATGATGTCAGGGCCATTTTCCCTGGGAGCTTCTGTGACCTCTATGTCTGCATCTTCATTAGCTTGCGGTTGAGGGATCTTCTCTATGTAGCCTCCAGAGTTGAACAGACTGTCTCGTAGTGCACGCCATTCATCCTTCAGTTCAGGTACACCGTCCAACTGTTCAGTTGTATTCCAGAGCTTAAACTGAATGACATCCTTAAACCGAGGGTGAAGAAAAGGAGAAGCCCAGGGATTCGACTTGAGCTCATTGTACATGTCGTGTACCGCAGCCGTATTAGGAACAGATGCAGCAGGTCCAGGGTTGATCCAGAGCCAGAATTTCGGTCTACAGACGTTAAGATCAGAATGCCCAGCTTCACGGTCCAGTCCCAAGTTTTGAGTGAATAAGAAAGACAGTAAGGCAAGATACGGCTTGTCTGTGAAGGGCCCAGTCCAAAACATGTGGAATATACGAGGATTTTCGTCATCACAGACAGAAGCTTGGTCCCTATAGGGTACGTAAGGCGGAGGCAAGGGCAAACGTAAGCGAGTTTCCCATTCAACTCCTCTCTTCTTCGGAAGCTCGTCTGCGGCATCGATCATGTTGTGTATTTTGAAGGAGAATGGCTTGGAGCGTGAAGGGATATCTGTCAAGTTTTTCATGCCTCCTTCGACATAGATGTATCTCCACTTGTCTAGCATGGTCCGCCTTACTCGAACACCAAGTTCCAAACCACCGCCGTATCGGAGCACTTCTAGACAGTCACGAACATACTACGCGGGATAAGCAGTAAAACAAGCATTGAGCGAATATACGAACGGCGGACCTTATTCTCAGAGAAATCACAATGTTTCATGATGAC